ATTACAGGTAGTAATCAAGATCTTAATTCTTCTGCATCATCCAATGAACAAATTCGTCATCAATTATGTAAAGTTAATGATTTACAAAATGGACAAATGAAAGAATTCGAAATAAAAACATCAATTGTTAATGCAAATGTTTTACTTATTAAACAAGATAATAAATTTCATGCTTATTCAAATAAATGTTGTCATTATAAATTACCATTAGCAAAAGGTTTGAATTGGCTTTTCTCTGTATTAAATATAAATATCTAGTTTGAAAATAACTATAAATAGGTGTTTTAATTAATAATCGTCTTCGTTGTTTTGCACATGGTGCATGCTATCGTGTTGATACTGGTGATATTGAAGATCATCCTGGTCATGGTAATTTACCAAGTATGTTTATATTGATTTATTTTTTATTAAAAATCTTCTACATATTGATTTTTTTTTTCTTTCAATAGAATATAATGTTGAAATTGTTGATGATCAAGTTATTTTGGTTGCACGTAAACAAGATCTTGAAAAAGTGGAACGTACAAAAATACCTGATGATTTACAAGTGGAGTCTAAACCCGTTGTTGCTATTATTGGTGCTGGAGCTGGTAAATATTTTCTAAGATTACTTTGACAAAATGAAAAATTTTATGCATTAGAGATCAGCGGGTTATAGTCTTTAGGAAGTTAAAATATCGAATTATGCTAAAGAAACAAATATTTATCTTTACAATTTCGAATGTCTTGTAAAACTTCTCTGATAATTTTCAATTATGATTAAACGAAGTTTTACTTATCTATCAAGAACAAAAATGATTAAATGACATTGATACCTTTGATTACATTGTAGTTCGTGCTATGTGTATTTTTTGAACTCTCGGAATTATCTTGTGTATTTTGTGACATTCTATAAATCAATATGAGATAGCACTATTTGTTTGGACATTTTTGAATCAACAAATACTTAACATGGGAAATGGAAAACGCCGTAAGGAAGAAATAGCCTTGTATTGGAGGAAAACTAACATATTTGAAGACTTCCATGAAAACTAATGTTCACTGCCTAGTTATATCCTTGTTTGTCTAACGAACGAAGTTATAAAGTTTCGTACCTATCAGGGTCGTTGATACGTTTTTAGGAGAGAAAAACGAAATTCATCATGATTCGGTCTCTCCCATAACAAACGATTTGCGATCACACTGTTCCTTTCCCAATCCTATTCACCTCACAACACTATTGTCTGCTTATTTTTATTTCACTTTCTGCACAGAAAGGCAAATTGCGTTTTGAAATCTAGTTTCTGTTCAACGTTACCACGAAGATGTAAAAAATTGCCAGAAAGTCAGATATTTGGAGAAGTGGCTCCATCCTTCTAATCGAGAATCTTCGTCCACATGCCTCGTCCTTTCCAAGGTATAACAATTTTACTGGAATTTTTATCTCTGGCGTGATATTTGTGAAAAACGTAAATTACGAAATTTTGACCTGGAATTTTGCCCATAGGTAAATCTCGTAGATCTTAGAACGCTCTGAAAATTTCAGTCCTAGAATGTGATGCTCTTGAGATATTGAATATCGAATAGCAATTATGTATCATAAGGAAGGGTAAGAAAACCCAGTATTTTTAATATTTGATATCTTAATAACAACGTCTCCTTGTCAGTTGAAGTTTGCAGGACATTCCAAGGTTCACTAGTCGTACCTATGGATAAAATCTCCGGTTGAAATTTTCTTATTCGATTTTTTCACAACTTCTTAGAGAGAAAAAACTCAGTGAAATTCTAATAGTTTAGAAAGAATAGCGCATGGAGATGAATCCTTATAGGCTTCTACTAGTTATCTATTGGCAAAATATCAGTTCGATTAGCGATTCACACCTAACGATCCTCTGTCGTACAGCTAGCAAAGGAAGTTTTACATTTTAACTTTACTTTTTAAAAATTTTTGAAAAAATGACTTCAAAATTATTCTCAAACACAATGTCCTGTTATATGTCTTGAATAATTTTTTTTTCCTACCATTTCAGGTGGTTTTACATGTGCTGATATGCTTCGTCAAAATGGTTTTCGTGGTCGTATACTTCTATTTACACGCGAAGGAACATTGCCTTATGATCGTGTATGTTATTTAACTTATAAAAAATCAAATATAAAAAAGAAAAACGATTTAATAAATATCTAGGTTCAATTATCAAAGCAACCATTAAAAAAACCACAAGAGTTACTTTTACGTGATCATCCTTATTTTAAAAAAGCTAAAATTGATTTAATGCTTGATACTAATGTTACTTCTATTAATTGGAATACAAAAAATTTATCATATCAAACATTAGGTAAACAAATGAAATCTGAACAATATGATTATTTAGTATTAGCAACTGGTTTACGACCACGACGATTACCATCATCAATACCTGGTGGTGATCTTCGAAATATTTTTTATTTAAGATCAATGGAAGATGCTAATAATCTTGTTAGTATGTATTCATCAAAAAAACAACAAAAAAAATAATTGTTTTTGTTTCTGATTTTTCTTTTTTTTAAAATTAAATAGATAAAGTAAAATCACATGAAACAAAAAATATTGTTATTATTGGTGATTCATTTATTGCATTAGAATTATGTGGATGGTTAACAACAGGTTTAGCTGGTCCTAATGGCAAACCAGAAGATGCTGAAAAGAAAAATGTTTCAGTTGTTATGCTATTAAAAGCTCCGATGATTCGTATGAAAGAAAACAAAAACTAATAATAATATTTTTTAAAATAAAGATAATCTATTCTTATATTTTAGGTCTTTTTGGTGAAAAAATTGCTCTAGCTTTACAAAAAATTCATGAAAATAATGGAGCAAAATTTTATCCTGAAGCAAATGTTACAGAATTAACGGTTCGTTGTTTTATTTTATTTTTGTCTCGTTTTTGTTTTTTTAAATTATATTAATTCATTTAATATTTAGGGTGGAAATAATATCGTTAAATTTGTACAATTAGCAACAGGTGAATCAATTCCATGTGATTTGGTTATTGTAGCTGTTGGTAGTGAATCATGTACTGAATTATATAAAGATTCACCTATTGAAATGAGCGATGATCAATTTATTAAAGTTAATGATCGTCTTGAAACATCTGTTGATCATGTTTTAGCTGTCGGAGATATTAGTAAATATCCATTAAGAATATTTAATTTAGATGAAGTTAATTGTCAACATTGGCAAATGGCATGTTCAAGTGGTCATCAAGCTGGTAAGATTTGATTTTTATATATATTAAATAATAGGAAAAGAAAAAGAGAATTCCGGTCTATTCCATGACACTAGTTCAGTAGGGTTGATATTGAGTCAACAATGGAAATAGGTTGTGCAAGTGCTGATTATAACACTAGTATGAAGAAATTTGAACGAAGGCATTTCACTATGAAGATGAAGAATGGATCATTTGGCATAAAAATTGAAATTTTTGTTAATTTAATTTTTTTCAACGGTTTTTCGAAGTTAGGTTGTTGTTTTATCTGTATAGAGCGGGAAATCTATTTATCATGAATTATTATTTTATTTATTTTTTTGAAAAATAAGTCACTCCAGGAAATTGTATACAGTTATACGTTTGCAAAAGCGGTTATTTTTGGATTGAAATTAGATCTTTATTTTCTAGAGTTATCGAATCTTATTCTGATTCGAAATTATTCATTACTATTGTTAAGATCTCATCTAGGCGAAGGGTCATAACAGAAGCTGTAGGTTTTTATTTCCAAAAACCATTGTGTAATGTTTTCTTTAGAATAACCATTTTTCATAGTACTCATTATTAATAAATTAAAAATAATCTAACAGAGATAAATGTTTAAATATTAGAAGCTTGATTTAATACACATAAACTATACACTTACGATAATCATAGATTCATTACGACTTTTTCGACTGCGGGAAGTTTATTTCAAGAAAATAACTGAATTTTATACAACATAACAAACCATTCTCGAACGAGAAAATCAAACTCGAAAATTTCTATACTCCGAAAGTCTTTACTCTATTTTTAAAGAATTCAACTATTTTTTTAAAATAGTTTCTCCGATCGAAATCAATCCAAAACCATTATAGTTTAATCATACGATCACCGTTAGTCTATGAGTACATGTTTAGACCAGTGCAAACCTGTACATAAGACTGATGTACGATCACTGTTGCATTTCACTACAATTAAACGAGATTTTTAAACATTTCTTCTTCATTTCATTTGCTTGATTTCATTCAATCATTATTCTGTCGAACTCTCTGGGTTTCGATAATAATCCTCGAATTGAAAGTCATACGTGTGTTTGAGTCTAAATGTGAATAAAATATTTGTAACTTATTAATCGATTTGTATAAGAAGTTAATCTTCTTTAAATATTGCAGAGATTCAATGAAATGAATATTAATTTAACAAGATGATAAACATTTTGTGTTTATTTTTCTATATTTTTTTTTTCATTACATTCATTTGAATTATTCATGTTTTTCTTGCTTTTTCTTTCTAGCTGATACAATTTTACATCATTACCTTGGTCAAAATAGAGGTGGCTCACGTCCATTAAAAACAGATTTCTATACAACACCAATCTATTGGACAACACAAAATAATAAAACAACAATACGTTATGCAGGTTATACTCGTGATCCAGAAAATGTTATAATTCATGGTGATCTTGATGGTGAATTTAAATTTGTTGCCTATTATATTGTTGATGATTATGTTCGAGCTGTAGCTCAATCAAAATATGATCCATTATCAAGTGAAGTTGCCGAAGTATTTTATCATAAACGAAATATTCGTAAAGAAGATATTGAAAATGATATGTATGGTTATCGAAAATATCTTGATTTTAAAACAAAAAAACCTGAATAAAAACATTTTCATTCATTTTATTTCTTTTATTTATGTTAAATATTTCAGCACTTTTTTCTTTTTCAGTAGATCACTTTTTTAATAAAAAAAATAAATAAATCATTTATTCAATAGACACGTTTTTTTTTTATAGATGGATAATCTATCTCAGATATATCAAAGTATACGCTGTCAAAAGTGTGAACGACGTTTAAAAAATCCTCTTGAATTAAAATGTAGACATGTCATTTGTCGAGATTGTCTTGAAAGTAAAATAAATATATTTAAGTAATTTATTGATGAGTTTAGAATTTTTTCGTTTTTTTTTTTATTATTAAGCTATTCTTCGAAATCATCGTACAAATGCTCGTTGTCCAACATGTAATCAATCTCTTGGTGATTATCAAATTGAAAATTATACATATTTACAACCAAATCATTATATATCACGTCTTTTATCAACATTTATTGATGTTAATCAATGTGAAACATGTAAACAATGTACAACAGTTAAACAATGTTCACAATGTTCAAATGATCAATGTGATTCATGTTATGATAAACATATAAAAACACATCGTCAAATTAAACAACAATCAAATAAAAATTCAGATTTTTCTAAAGAAGAAATTGAAATTCTTGAATCAATGAAAAATTATTTAAATGAAAAAGAATTTGAAGATTTTATTCAAACAGCAAGAGATTATCTTGATAATGCAATATTAAAAGAAAATCAAACAACTATATCTATTGAAAATAATGGATCAATAATTAATATAGAGAAAAAATCAATTTGGTTAGAACCAGAAATTTATGATTGGTCTAAACATGAAAAATTTACTGAAGATGATATTATTAATAGTAAACCAAAACGTGTTCAACAATTACTTCGTCTAGATTTTATTCCTCGATCTTATCAAATACGAATGACAACAGCTGGATTAAAAGGAAACAATTCACTTATTTGTCTTCAAACTGGTGCTGGAAAAACATTTGTAAGAATCTTTTATTTTCGTTATTTAAACATGATAGTAAAGAACTTCATATATAGAATGAAAATTTCTCAATCATTTTAACGCGAAAGATCGATATAAATGTATACACATTACGTAATATACTCTAAACAGGTTATCCAATTAGGTATTCTACTATCATTTTATTACAAATACTTACTGATGTAACGAAGTTAGGTGTGTAGTCAGTTAACTTATTGACATAGTTTTGCCATATTGCTCCTTGTGTGTATGTTTCCGACTGTTTTATTGATAAATTTCTAGTCGATATCGAAATTTTAGCTTTCACTATTGGCCTAATACTTTCTACTATTAAATGAATAGACTCCTAACATACTGAATTCATTGATGATAGTCAAGAAAAGTTACCCACGAATTCAGAACTTAAATTCTGTCTATAATAGAAATTTTTCATCTTGACATTTCATGCTCACTTCTGCGCTGCTTGTCACTGACTATCGGAAATTCTTTATTGATTAGCAGATGTTAGATCATCTTCTAATTACATGAATAATAGTTTTGTGTGAAATTTTCATTAGACGCATGTGAGTTTAAAAAGACAGTTAGTCCTTGATAGAAATAAATCAAAAAATATGAAATCTATTTGAAAATCGAATCTTATATTTTATTTAGTTTTTCCTATCGGCAATAATATCTAACTAATGGAAAAATCTTTCAAGTAAGGATAATACAATTTCTTGATATTTTCAAGACAACTAAAAATAAATCATCAACATCCTTTCAAATAAAAAAAACATCAAACCTATCACTTCTTGTGAAGAAATCCTATCTATTTATTACGAAAAGTCAACTAAAATAAGACATAGATATTATTTTATATCACCAGATGAAAAATACCACATGAAAAGCTTCGAAACAGTTTTCCTTTAGTTCTTAGCATATTAGCGTTTATGATACGTGGCTGACCAAAAAGTCTGCACAGTATTCAATGAACAATTGCAGATCATTAGCGAGACTGGATAAAAAGAAGGAATAAAGATAATTTTCATTCATAGTAGAGATGCACCGATGACGATGTACTGGTCTTATGTACAGCTTTATATTTGTCTAAACAGTGAAGATCGTGAACACGTGATAAAGCTATGATGATCTTCGATTGATTTCTATCCTTTCGGTCGAGGAGACCATTTCAAAAAAATAGCTGAATTTTATAAAAAATAGTCGAAAGGTTTTCGTGATTCAGGAATCTGAACCTATAGGAGATTTATCAAAATTTTCAAGTTCGATTTTCTTGAAATATACGATCATCATCTTCACCATTATTCTATACGTGCATGTCTAGACCAAAGTATCGCCAAACAATAAATTGTTACATCTAGCGTTAAAACGAATCAATACATGTAGATACTGAAATGTTATTACTCAAGTATTCTATTAATAAATCTAAAAATGAATTAATAAATTTTTGTTTTTTGTTAGATTGCTGGAATTGTTGCTAAATTCTTGCATATTCTCTCACTTCAAAAACTTAATAGTGCATCTGCATCTGCATCTGCAACTCCATTGGATGCAATAAGACGATTTAAAGCTGTTTTTCTTGTTCCAATAAAAGCTTTAGTTGCTCAACAATGTACAGCATTTAGACAAGTTTTTATCGATCAACCTGATTCAATACTTAAATCAATTGAAAATCAAGCTGGAGAACGGTAAACAAAGAAATATATACAATGCAATCTATTTGCTATTGTTTAGATTTAAAGATCTGTATCAACAATATGATGTTTTCTTTTTCACAGTACAAAAATTTGCTAATTTTGTTGAAGCAAAACATGCTGATTTAACTAAGTTTGATTTAATTATCATTGATGGTAAAACTAAACATGAAGATGCGAAAAAAGAAATTTATTTTCATTCTATTTTTAAGAATGTCATCATTGTTATGATAATCATCCAATAAATTCTCTTATGCGTCAATATCATCGTTTAAAATTATCCGGTTGTAATATACCACAAATAATTGCTTTGTAAAAATAAAACAAATATGTTTTTTCTTTTTTATTTATTAAATTTTTATCTTTGATTTTTTTTTTCCTTTAGAACAGCAAGTGTTGGAACAAATAAAAAAAATGCATTTGATCATCTTGTTCATTTATGTGCTAATCTCGATTGTTTTGAAATATATGCTGTTGAACGAGGTGCTGAAGAAGATGAAGTTCGTAATTCAACAAATACACCATTAAGTGATACTATATTAACTATACCTAAAGAAGAATATGATCCAATTATAATGAATCTTAAAGATAATGTTATGAAATCAATTGCTAGTCGTCTTGCTTATGATATATCTACGATGGATAATCAAAAATTAGAAAATTTTCTTGTTACAGAACATCAAAATGCATGTAAAAGAAATGATCGTGATGCAATTATTGGTTGTGATTATCTACTAAAGTATCATGTAAATATGAAAAAATCATTAGTTTCTTTTTCTTTTATTATTAAAATTTAAATATGTTTATTTTAGCGTTTTCTTCAATATTATGATGATTTACCACTTGATGAATGCATAAAATGGCTTATAGAAGCTTTACAAGAATCCAAACCCAGTATACCTACAACACTTGATAAATTTTGTCAACAAAAATTAGAAGAATTTCATGAATTGGTTGCAATGCAAATATCATGTTCAGTTCCAATCAAAGCTAAATTAAAAAAACTGATTGAAATGATTATTTGTTTGCATTCATCTCATTGTCGAGGTAATATTATAAAACTATTTTTTTACACGTTCAGTTTATCTAAACGATCAAAAATGAGACGAAAATTTTTGCGTTCTCTCATTCCGAAAAAATAAAACGATCTTTAAGAGAAGCATTTATTACTATTTCGAATTCTAACATAGACTTCTTAAAAATCCTACATGATAGAACTAATAAGATTTTAAAAAAACTTATCGTTGCACAAAAGCATACCTTTCAAGATCAACATTTGACTTAAGAACTACATAAAAAAATGTACAAAACCTATGTGTCAATTGAGTACTACATACATCATCGGATTAAACAGTCAGTATGCACTTCGCCGAAAGTGACATAACCGAAATCTGGCAATGTCTGTTTTCTGGGAACTTCATTTAGATGATTGAAGCTATCAGCGACATTCTGGAATCACACCTACAGTACAAAAAAAAAGATCGCTGATATAGATCCCCAATAGATATTTGATGATTTTCATATCAGTGATGAGATACACAATCAAACTATTGTTTTCTTCTTTTTTTTTTTTGTAAATTTCTCAGTTTCAACTTATGAAAAAATGATGAATTAGCAATTGTATCTTCTAGGTTTAATACTTGTACGTACAAAATTTCATGCAGTTTCACTTGAAGCATTTCTTAATAAAAATCCAGAATTAATCAAACGTAAAATATTCGTAGGATATTTAACTGGACAAGGCTCAGCGGAAGATCTTTCACTACCAGGTAGTCAACAAGCAACAGTTCTTAATGAATTTCGAAAAGGTAAATTATATTTCACATATGAAATCATATTCTCTATTAATGTATTGCTTCTTTTTTTTTTTATAGGAACAAAAAATTTACTCGTTGCAACTGGTTAATTAATGAAAAATTCTCTCAGAATAAATATAAAATATCTCAATTTGTATTTGTAGATGTTGCTCAAGAAGGATTAGATGTTGCTGAATGTTCTTATGTAATTCGTTACGAATTTGTATCAAATGAAATAGGTACTGTTCAAAGTCGTGGACGAGCACGAGCTCCTCAAAGTAAATGTTTTCTTATAACAGAAGCATGTAAGTTCATTGATTTATTACGTTAATAATTAATTAATTAAGATTTTCTTATTGTAAAGTATCCATAAATTATCAACGTGAATTAGAAAATCGACAAAAAGAAGGAGAAATGACACAAGCAATAGATGAATGGCGTCAACGAGGCGTTGTAGAATTTCGAAAGCTTCTATTTAAAGAACAAGTACGGTCTGATTATTCTTCCTGTCATTATTTCTCCTTCTTTTCTTTTTTGTATTTATTTAAAGGATGATTTATTAAAAAATAATACTCAACAGACAACATCAAAATTTTCTCAATCTAATCAAGAAACAGCAAAAGAAATTCATTGTCGTTTTTGTGATACATATCTTTGTAAAGGTTCTAGTTTACGATTACAAGGTACAACAGTTATTTGTGTTGATCCAACATTTGAACAACGTGTTAAACCACCAAAATCACTTGGAGGTTATTTGAGATTTTATGTTAAGATTGAATTTTTAGGCTTTTTTTTTTTTTTAGAAAGGTTTGTCTGTCCAAATAAAACATGTCATAAAGAACTTGGTGGTGTTATTTTATTGTCACGTAATACACCAGGATATGCATTACAAATAACATCATTAAAATTTTTAATCGATGATGAACAAACTCCACGTCTTTTTAAAAAATGGAGTCAATATCAAGGTCATATGGAACCTTTGTAATTTTATTTTTCGATATTATTTATTTTAATGAATCAATCAAGAAAAATCATTTGTTTTATTTTTTCTTTTATATCAGTAATAAATATTTTATGTAAATTAGAGAATTTGCATATTCATGAAAAGCTAATCTAAGGATAATGTCTTTGAAATATTTTTAAAACTATTTTTTCTACTTAAGTATATTTATTATTTTTGTAAGTTTTCAACAATGATAAAATATAACCAGTGAAATAACATGAATTAAGTATATGACTTGCAAGTCAAATATATTACATTAGCTTATGAATGCAGATCGAAACCATTTTAGTATGTGAATTACATACCAAGATAGTTAGTTGATGAGTGATTAAGAATACAAACGAAACAAAATAAGAATGAAAATTACAATATAATTAATATTTATTTCAGAGTGATTTATCTTACATTACGAATTTAATATGAGACCTTTTTTTTCCTATTATAGGCTAAACAAAGATTTAAATAAGTTAGCATACATAGTATTATTGTTTATGAATGATTGAAAAATTAGTCATGCTAACATAATCATACTACTTAGATTTGTTGCCAAGTACTGATTCATAGTGTTTGTCGGTCACATTGTTTGAGAAAATAATTGCGAAGAAGGGGGTGTTATTAATGCATAAATGATCATTCTAAGAATTTTGCCAGATAGAAAGATCGATATCTTCAATAATATTCTTCGTTAATTAACTGTATAAAATCAGTTTGACCGTTTAAATAATTCATTTGATGTCTAAATTATTAAAATTTTAGTTCACTCTATTTAACAGCGACCTCTTTAGTATTAACTAATTAAATCTTTTTAAAATGATTTAGAAGTTTTCATTATCATTAATTTAATAAATAATATTATAATCGATATTGAATAGCGTCATATAACTTCAAATCATTGTAAAACATCTTCTAAATCCTATTGAAGGTAGAATATCTGTCTCATGGCGATCAAGTACACAAAGAATGTAAGAAAAGTACACGTTATATATCTATCGCGATGTTGATTATTTACGATTTTTAGGTCACTGTTTATTATTCATCATTTGTGTGTATTTATTTATAAAACTACATCGTTGCGCGTGGTCGCCGTCGTCATCATCCCTGTTTTCTACTGTTCATAGTGTACATAGGCCTTGTCTAACATATTCCCTTTTCGTGTCTTGAATTTATTTCGACATTTTGTACCTATGTAAAAAAAAAAACCAAGCAAAACAAAAAGGCAACCATTATATCTTCATCAATTTGTACTAGCAAATCTTGTCTAAATATTTTGAACGTTTTTGTATTTCTGGTCAATCAGATTTTCTTTTTTGTTTAATACTTTCTACTTAAAAAATACGGTACGTTAAAAAAAAAATTCAATGAATAAAATTTATCTTCTTTATTTTATATAGTGATTAATATATGTTACATGATATGTGGTCATCACAAAGTAATACAGATTATACATCAAATGGTAAATAAAGACTAAAAAAAAACGTTTGAATTTTGAATTTATTTATTTGCTTTTTTTTTTGTTTAAGAGCGTTTAGCTCATTCAGTTTCACAACCAATTAATATGCCGAATCGATCATCGGATTTAACATCAGGTTATACTGATTCACATAGTGCTGTTTTTTCACCAAAATCAACAGACCCAGCGAATCTCGGTGTTAATATGTGTATTAATATATTAGAAGGTGATAGTTCACCACGTGTTAAAGATAATACAATTACGGATGTTTCACAACGTTTACAAACTATGAATATTTACGTAAGTAAAAATATTTAATCTTATCAATTTTCTATAGATGCACTAGAATAATGTCTAATAATCAGTAATGATATTCTTAATATTTACAGTAATTATAGTCCATAGTCTCTAGTCAATCCATTAATATGTTTAGTTTTTATTGACTATATGATTACAATATGTCGATTTTTTTTTCTTTATTCATATCGAAAATTCCCAACAAAAAAAAATACTTTAGCTATTTTTTTTTCTTCAATATAGCATTATCAAGAGTATTACAAATTGCATGAATCACTCTATTGGAATAGATATGTCACATTGAAAAATTATGTTAGTCATCTTTTGTCATAGATAGATTTTCTTGTACGATCTTATTCACACATTGAAAGAGGTCTTAAAAAATTATTTTTATAACATGAATTTATAGGATAGCTTTTTCTGTACTCAAGGATATCCGAAGGTCATCAAGTTTGTAGGCGGAGGGTTATCACGACTTGGGACACTTCATATATGAATTTGAAAAATCAAAACAAATTGTATTACTTAAGTTATATACCTTTGTTACGTCATAAACAACAGACGTGCAAACGTTTGTCGTAGTCTCAGCAACAGATTGTGTACATATATCACTAAACAAAGATGTATCAAAGGAAATTTAACATAGCGCATTGTTCTAAATTTGATACTCTATCAACATAGATGTAACGCATAAAAATCAACTATATTATATAACTTAACTGATATAATTGGTTTTGATATCCTTTAATGCTTGAATGAAACCGTATAAGAAAGTGTATTTGTATATACATTACGATACACTTAACTAAACATCATATGAAAATAATGTTTCATTTTTGTTGCTCTTTTATTGATAATTTCCAGTATAGGTCAAAACAACATCGTAGTTGAACCTTCCTCATGGGAAAACTACGGAAAAAAAGTACTCCTTACATGGAACACATTTTGCTCTATTTCTTTATGTATCCTAAAGAAAATTATAACTGTGAACAGACACGCAATAATTTGCAACAAAAAAAAAAAGTGCTTTGATAATTTTTGAAAGGATGGAAAAATAAAACAACAGTATGATATATATATATATATATGTATATATTTAGACTGACAGTGATAATGATAAAAAATCAATTGATAATGTAAATGATTGTAAATCAGATGAAACAGTTGGTGATAATGTATTAAAAAATTCAAGTCATAAACAATCACCACGTTCATCACCTGGTCATGTTAATACTAATTTAACGAATAGTAATACAATTGAAAATCTTTCATCAACAAATACAATTGGTCCTAATGATGATACAAATGATAGTGGTATATCATCAACACATGCGATGATGAATGGTATACCAACAGCATCTGTACCAATACCATTTCAAGCAATGCATACAGATAATCATCAACAACAAATGTTACTTTATCAACAACAACAACAAGAAGCGTAATTGAATTTAATTTTAATAAAAGGTCAACAAAAAAACTTTTTTTTGTTTTTTTCTTAGTTATCAAGCACAATATCCAAGACTTCAACAACAACAAACAGCTCATTATGAAATTGATCCACGTACAACAAATTTTCAACAATTCGATTATACATTAATTCAACCACAATCGTTAGTAAAACTGTTTTTCTTTCGATTTAACAATTTCTTATTTTGTGAAACACGATCTGATAGAAATGTTGAAGTACATAAGATAGAAATTTTCACCTCTCCACATAGATGCTGACCAGAGACTGTAACAGATGGTATATCAATAACGTTTCGTTACTACTTCTTTTTATTATGCTTCTCGAGAATTGAATAAAGAAATGTGTCTCAAGATAGACAGAATAAAACAGTCTCTATGTGATTATCTATATCGTGTTTCACATTTTAACCCAAGAGGGATTACACTAATAATTTTCTTTTGTTTTTTCTATTATTATTTTAGATTTGAAAGTCAATCAATAATTTCTGCTTTTAATCCTCAAGCATCAGGTACATCACAACAAGATCCTCAATTAGCTAATTTAGCTCAAACATCACTTATGTCATGGCTTTCAACAGCCGTTGCTGCACAACAATCAACAGGAAATCCACAAGCATCATATGTACCATCATCAAATCAATATATAATTAATAGTAATCAAGATAATTATTTACAATCATTAGCTAATTTTCATCAATCATCAGCAACACATCCATCATTTCAACCACAATATTGGTCAGCTGTACCAACAGCTGTGATGTTTCCAGCACCACCACCACAAACACTTTTAACACAACAACAAACATTAAATAATGAACCACAATCACCACAGTCAAAAGCAAATAATAATAATAATCGACCATTAACACCACCGAATTCAAATGATTTATTAAGTACATCACAATCAAATCAACAACAAGCACAATATATTAATATGTCACGTGCTGGACAAACACCCGGTAAAAAACAAAAAATTTGATTTCTATAGTGATTGAATGAAATTCTTTTTTTTTGCTTTATAAGTTAATTTTCCTTTTTTTGCGGCTGCATCACCAACATTTCTTGATCCAAATTTAATGATGCAAACTTCAAGACAACCAGCTGGTTCACCTGGACTTCGTATGTATCCACAACAAGTACCAATACCAAGTAATTTTTATTCGAAAATAAAATATTTAGTTGTATTTGATATATATATATATTCTTCTTTTTTTCTCAGTTAATACAAATAATCAAGGTGGTCTTTATGGTAGTCCAGTTGCAAGTTCACTTTCAAGTTCATTTAATGGTATGTTCGAATTTAAATTCTATAATAATTAATGATGAGAAAAAGATCAGAGTACAATAGAAATTTTTTTTTTAAATTTTCTCAATGAAATTAATTATTGAAGGAAAACAATAGAAATACTTTGGAGTATGAAAGAAAAACAAGACTTTTTTTGGAAAGCGTGCTGTATGATTCAAGAATGCTTATGCTAACTGTAGTGGTAGGAGGACACAAGATTAAACATTTTGACACTATTTGGACTGGTGCTAAAGAGTGTACATTTATAAAAAGAGTCTTTATGTCCAAGAGACTTTGGCCAAATAGCTTAGATAAAGAAAATCATTAAAATTAGAAGAAAACATCTGAAGAGGTTTCCTCGTTAGCTATTCCGAAAATTAGTTTAGCAAAAAAAACTTTTTTCTTCTCAAAAATCATATATTCAAATTAAAAGATTTCTTTGATAATCAAAATCCGACGATATACAGATCCAAAATATCT